CTGCGTCACAAGACGATTAAATGTTGCTGGTGCATTTGACAGCCCTTGGAGCATGACCAGCCACTCCCAGAGCATCCCGCTCGGAATATTTACCGCTGTCAGCGGAATGTTAGTCGCCCTCATGAGCGATTGGTAATAATCATCGACCAAGTCGAATGCGCTGTACTTTGTACAGCCAACCATATTGTTCTGAATAAAATCCTTTGTTGGAATCTGTTTGTCCCAGAATGGTGGCAGCGTTGGGCTTATTGTAAGCGTGAACTACACGCCACTTGCCGTTCGGCTTCCAGACATAAAACGTGGGTGTCGAATGAGGAGACTTGCTCTCACGCACCATTCCTGCCTCGTGCTTCGCACGGAAAAAGGCGTCAATGACGTCACATAGCTCTTTGGACAGGGGCCATTGGCGAGTAACGCAGTATTTGGTTCCAACAAACAGGTCAATCTCATGACGAACACCTCGGTCCGAAGGTAGGATCAACGGCGGGTCTTTGGCGACGTCTTGAAACTCTTTTACTAAAGGATAATACGGATCCGAAGGATCCTCTAGGATCGACGATCCACTTCGAGCGGTCAGCACCCTCTTAGTGTCCCCAAAACAGCTCATCCAGAAGCGACGACAAGTCAATCTCCTCGTTCGGTCTTATAATGACTGTATCGTTTTAATTGCCTGCCTCCAAGGCACCGCCAAACTTTTTGAGGGACTTCCCGTCCAACTCAAGAAGAGCATCAACCGCGGGAATAGCCTCGAGGGTGCCGTCGCCGTCTTTCTCTCCCGTCATAACCTTGACAAGGGTATATAGCAGCGCGCTATCGTCAACGGTAGACACTCCCTGGTTCAGATCCGACACCTTGCGTCTTGCAGATAATATACAGCTTCGCCGTCTCTTCTCTCTAGAGGTTTCACGTCTCATCGAGACCAGCGGGAACACGCACTCGGCGTCGTCCAGTTCACCTACTCCCTGCCCCATCGGAGCCTTGATGTTATTAACAACATCCGACGAAGAGCTGCTAGTTCCATAGTCTTCGCCCAGTGGATAACGTACCACTTCACGCGCATCAGAAGGGCCTTGCCCAGGATGCCTCGGACCTCGTCCGGCCATGCCACTCTTGGCATGCAGCAACTGTTTCGAAACGTGAGCAGTGCTCAGTGGATTGCGTGCCGCTTCACGCGCATCACAAGGGCCTCGCCCTTGATGCCTCGGACTTCGTCCGAACATGCCATTCTCGGCACGCAGCAACTATTTACGTGCCACTCCACGTTCAGCCCGCGAGCCACGCTCGGGACTCTTGTCCAAAACACCTTTGGTATTTGACAACTTGCATACTCCGATATCGAGCACATTAACCGTTCCGGTCCAGTGCTTGCACCAATAGCGCTTCTGCTTCCTAGCAGACGTGGGCTCATTACTCAGTAAGCTCCACCAGGAGACGTGCGCGCAGCGCCCAAGGTCTTCGGCCTCCAACTGATCCATGGCTGATGGTGTTCTAACCATGCCATACCAAGGATAAGGTCAAACCTTGCATCCTAGTCGAAGACTAGACAGCATTCCACGCTATCAAAGTCAAGGAAAACTTGACACCGAGGACCACAGGAAACCTCGACACAGTGACACAAGTCCCGTCGCTAAGCGAACAGGGACGGTGTCACCCAACTGCGGTTCCAGCGTCTCAGCATATAGCTGACTTCCTTCGATTGTGGAGCGTCGACCATAATTGCCCGACACCCCGGAATCGATAAGGATCTTAAATGGTTTCTCAAAGCTCTTCACGGTCGCTTTTACGACCAGCAAGCCCAGCTTGCACACACGTTCCATGTTCAAGAGCATGGAGCTCTTAAGGGCTGGGCCCTGCTGCCCTCTACCTCTTGAGGCACAACGAAACTCGTTCTTCCCCATTAGGGCGTTCCGCGCCTACTGGGTGATCTCGTTTCCCCGCGTCAAACCAAACAAGTTGGAAGCGGAACTTCGGTTCGACGAAGAGTTACGCGCTTTACGCAAGAGACAGCCCGTCTGAAAGTGACGGGTGTCTCCACAAACAAAACACCGTCGGATTTTCCCAGCAGTTCGGAGCTTTCCTCCCTCCATATCAGCATAGCTGAGATCAATTGGCTCAGGCCCGCTTAACGAGCTCTGAGGGTAAAAATTCCAACATAGTCGTGCCGACTTGAAGCTGATTCCGGCATACAATGCCACGTTCACCGCCTCTTCAAAAGAAGACGGATGCACACGGAAGACTTCCATTCCGGCCACACCAGTGTGGAGGCCCACCACAAAGACGGTCACTGCGACTGCATCGAAGAGAGGATCTGCTGCCATCCAGGCAATGAGACTTCTCAACTTCTTCTTGCCCTGTCGTGCAGCAAGAAAACGCGATCTCACGTGATATGCCTGATCAGGCGGCGAGAACACTCGCAGAACCTGACGATTCTACTCCTGCCAGGAGGGGAACACAGCTTTAACCGAAGCACCGCACGTTAGCGCCCATTTCTCGCGCTCGGCCTTCGACCTAGGAGATAGCTAGCGCCACGCGCTGTCGCTTGTTTTAGAGCATGGCGGACGTCATGGCCACCTCGGCCTCTCTCGCCCATAGAAGGAGATCTCTCTATCCTTACCCTCAAAGGTCCTAACGCTCATTATGAGCGGCCTGAGTCGGAAGGGATCATCCGTCGACGCTAAGCTTCTGCTGAGAGTGCTCTAGCAGAGCATTTTCATAGTTTGAAAACGCCTCTAGGCGCGCGCACATGGCCTCAGGCCCTTGCACAACGAGGTGCCCCACGCCCTCAGAGCTCAGCAGGGACATTATGCCCTGGGGCAAACAGGAGTATTCCTCCATCCTCACAGGGGATCAGTCGTAACGACTCAGGCGTAGATTGACTACGAGTGCTACCAAGTGCAGCGGGGCTGCCGTAGATCTTTGCTTAGAGGAAGCTATGTTAAGGTCACCGACCATACGCTCTTTTCAAAAAAATTGACATTACGTCTAGCAAATCAAGTTCGAAAAATTCACGCAGTCGGTAAGCAAAATTATAGCAACTGAAAGTGCTACAGCCCCGTTTGTTGCGACTTCGAATGAAGTGCTATGGATGCTGGTGAAACCAATAAAGGGCAATGCTACCAATGCTGAAAGTATCAGGTCAGAAGCAGAACAAAGAGCAGCCAACCATGCTGTTCTGTGGTACATCCTCTCAAAATCGGCGCTCTCCGCTAGTGTAGCGGGTCGCAATCCGCTACTTCGAAGTACTTTAGCCTTACTATGGCAAACAAATACTTCTGCTCAAGAAAGAAACTACATTTAACTGTTTTAGTTGCGGCAGAGTCGCGAATATCTAAAACTCAAGTTTTCCTAATTAATATAGTAACATGCGCTGCTACTGGCAATCCTGCGCTTCTTATTACGATCTAGCTACACCACTGTGTTATTACACTTACTGTGTAATATACACCTATTTACGGTCGCACAATATTGTGCGACCCGCCCTTTCTCCCAAGGGCACGTGTAACCCCGTTTCAGTCAAAAATTCTACGATCTATTAGCATGACCACCTCGGCCACCACACCAATTGGCTCGTTGCTTCCATTTCATCTGGAAGACTCCGCGAATGACACTGATCACGCTCACGAAGCTTGAGTAAGTCCTGTCTAGAAAAACGTGGAAAAATTTAACCGGCAGGAATCACTGCGACATAGCGGGTCCTCGAGGAAACAGGTTGAGTTGGTCCGGGGTCTTCGCACACTTCTCTTTCATTCCTTTCCTCACGTAGCACGTCGGTATCTGTAACCCCCTTCACACCACCCTCATTACTCGCTTCGGCAAGTTTTTTTACCTGCCATCTTCCTTCAAATCCAGGAGATGCCGATACCCTGCTCATTCTCTCTGATTTACACAATCTCGGCCGTTTGCATGCTACCAGACGCGCCACAGATGCTGAAATACAGGTGGATGTACGAAGCGAGGCGATGTTGCTGAAAGATGGTCACAGATTTATGAGCGTCAGCGAGTACAACAAAAGTTGCATTCAAGCGAAAACTAAGCGACATCAAAGCTCCCACGTGCTGGTACCAATCAAGCAGTAAATTATGTTAACTGATATGATAGGTTCCACAAGCTCCCACGTGCTGGCACCAATCAAGCAGTAAATTATGTTAACTGATATGACAGATTCCACAAGGTGAACACTCACTATACAAACAAGACCAATAATCGTTTTGTCTTATTCTGAAAATATAAAATTCCTTGCTCTTATAGTGACTTCCTAAAAAACATTATCGATATTCTCAACTACTGTTGTGCCGTTTTGGTATACTCAGGTACCGAAAGCAAAATAATTTTACTGGTGGATCATAATGGGCAAACGATCACGCAATGGACGAAGTGGAGGACGCGGTGGTGGCCGCGGCAGCAAAAAGTCCCGTGCTTACGGTGCCGTAGATGACTGGCGCACTGATAGATTCGCCGATTGGGTATACGAGAATGAAAACTTTGACGCGTACTACAAGTCGCAAAATATCATGGCAGACACGGAGTGGGATGCTTTCAAGAAGGCGCTAGCCACGCCGCTGCCAACAACCTTTCGCATCAACAGCTCATGTCCTTTTGCAGACCGGTAAGTTGTGTTTGATGAATTGCAGTATGCGGACCGAGGTTTTGCGACTCATTGCTGCATATCATGTACTTTGGCGCAGCATCCGCGAACACATTGAGCAAGATTTCAAGTTCGACGGACTGGTCGTGGACGATAAGCCTGTGGATCCCATCAGCTCTTTGCCTTGGTATCCTGATAATCGTGGCTTTACGTGGTCGGTGGAGCGCCGTCGTGTGCGCAAGCTACCTATCTTAAAAGAGTTTCAGTCGTGGCTGATAGAGCTCTCTAATAGCGGTAGTATCACACGACAAGAAGCCGTAAGCATGATTCCTCCTCTTGTTCTGGGTGTAGAGCCACATCATAAAGTGTTAGACATGTGTGCTGCTCCTGGCTCAAAAACGTCACAGCTCCTTGAGTCGTTGCACTCGCAAGATTTTGCAACAGGAAAAACTCCCACTGGAGTCGTGGTGGCCAACGATGTGGATATCAAGCGTGCGTACATGTTAGTGCACCAGTCAAAACGTATGAGCTCGCCGGCTTTGCTTGTCACTTGTCACGAAGCTCAAAACATTCCATTTCTTGGCAAGGACGGTTTGGAGAGTGAAGGTGTGTTTGATCGTATTTTGTGCGATGCTCCATGCAGTGGTGACGGTACCTTACGTAAAAATCCCTTGATATGGAAGACGTGGAGTGCCAAAAACGGGATCGCGCTTCATCCACTGCAGCTTCAAATCGTCAAGCGTGGTGCAGCGCTCCTTAAAATTGGTGGCAAGATCTGCTACTCAACGTGCTCATTTAATCCGATTGAGAATGAAGCTGTAGTGGCTGAGCTGCTACGGTGGGGCAAGGGATCGCTAGAGCTTGTGGATGTTTCGAACACGCTGTCACGACTGAAGCGCCGATCTGGCATCAGCACGTGGAAAGTGATGAACTCGCGACTGAAAGAATATTCGACTTATGAGAGCTATGTCGAAGAGAACATAAAAGAAAAAAGTAAGGACAAGATTCGTTTTACGATGTTTCCACCAACGGAGAACGAAGCTCTTGAGTTTCATTTGGAACGTTGCATGCGCTGCTTGCCTCAGGATGAAAACACGGGCGGGTTCTTTATTTGTTTGCTCAAAAAGGTGGCAGCGACCCCAAATGATAAGGAGGAACTCAGACTCGACGTGGGCGAAAATGCTCTTACAGATCCGAAAAAGCTTGCCGAAGTAGAACTTAATGATGTTGCGACGTTGCCCACCGAAGTTACGGCCAGTGACATCAAACCCCACAATGAGGTGCGCGAAGTTGCTTTGATAAATGAGGTGAATACACATAAAAGCCGACGCTATGATCGCATGAAGAAAAATGGGGAAGTATATGTTTCCTTTAGAGCTGAATATGAGGCTCATGTGCGCGATTATTACGATATTACTACTACTTTTTCAGCTGAGCAGCTGATCACGCGCTCAGAAGATGCAAAGTCTGTCACATTTGTCACCGAAAGCATCACGATGGCTTTGCTGGAAGAAATGAAGCGCAAGAAGATGCAGGTTGTGTACGCTGGTTTGAAAATGTTTGAGCGGAATGAGACTACAGAGGGTGGAAAAGTGTACCGTGTTTGCCAAGCTGGTTTGCCGCATATTCTTCCCTTTATGAACAAGTGTAAGGCAATGGTAGGTACAAGAGACTTTCAGATGATGCTTGAGCGACTAGGCGACTTACTAGATTTCGACGAGTTCGAGCCTGACACACGCGAGTATCTGGAGAATGCTCCTATCGGTAGTGTCGTATGCATGCTTGATCGTCCGGGCCAGTCCACCATTGAGTACGTACCATAACTTACCGAGCGTCAATTGTGCTTTTTAATTATCAAGTTCGTTGTAACAGGTCAAGAGTGATGAATCTGGTCGTGTGGCGTGGTCGTAACTCTGTTAATGTGATGGCTTCCAAGGCAGATGTGGCTATACTGTTGGGAACGATGAAGGAGTTAAAGATATACAATCTGACTATTCACGAAGCAATTATAGAAGCCAAGAAAGTAAAGGACGCAGAGCGTGCTGCACGAGATGTCGATAAAGCTGTTGCGACGAAGGAGACACGGAATGACGTCGTGAAGATGAATGAGGCTGACGCTGTGCCCACCGTTTAATCCGAGAAACATGTAGCAGAAAACCAGAAAAGATAAATCTATTTTCTCAGGGATGATATGAGTTGACGCAAGCGTTTTTTGTCTGTGGTGACCAAAATTAGGACCATATTGCTGCCTTGTCAGCGGACATTGGATCCAAAATAGAGTGTGTCGTATTCCTATTTCGGTTCTCGAATTCTTTAGCAACATCCTATTCATTTTAGTCCTTGTGTTGCGTGGTATCCCAACGCATTCCACTTGCCTCGCACAATGGAACGATTATCGACATCATCTGTAAAAATGCGCAAGTCGCCTGATCAACTCGTCACTCCAACGTTTACATGGTAGGTGTTTTCGCAATGTCTTATCTTTATTCCTTCTTGTGACTTCTCTGCGTGATAAAATTTGTAGCGAGGTGTGCAAGATATCAGTGCGTTCGGCGCAAAAACTTATTGACCACGTTAATTTTTCACCATTACATCAAGCTTCCCTTGGCTTAAACAAAGGCTCGAAGGCTGGGATTAAATCTGCTGGGTGCGTGCGTCGATTGCTATATGATGGCTCCAATCTGTTCTGGCGTGCCAACGAGACGCTGGATGTGTGCATTTACGAAGATTTGGCTGTAAATCGCATCACCATCCGAGCTTTTCAGCAAAAGCCACCACAAAATATGGAGACTGACGATGTTAGCTCGTTGAATTCTATCCCACCTTTGGAAATTGACCTACGGCGTCTACGTCAGGTACTGGGAATTGATGCAGCACCAAAAAATTCCGGCTACCATAGTAAATCCTTTGGGCTTACAGCGAGCACGATGCTAGGTTCAACGCTGACGAACCAGTCAATTTGTGATGCATCACAAAATCATTCAAGCGAGCTGATAACAGAGTATCTTCTTGCTCGTCTACAGGCACGACGTGACTCTCTTGACCGAGTGCATCTTTATTTTATACGAAACAATGACGATGAGCTGGATCCAAATGATTTGTTATTGAAATCAGCAGAAACACCTAAAGCTCTGCCAAGTGACCTCACGATTCGTCGCCGTCACACAATCGATGACGTCAAGGAAGCCCAGAAAGAAGTTTCGGTGGCCACAGTGCGGCTGAAACACGCACGCATGAAAGCTGAAGAGCTGTCAAACTTAGCGCACACGACGTTGGATAATTATTCAAGGCATTTTGGCTCGGCTACTACTGCACAGCAAATGTATAAGTGATTTAATGACATTTTGCAGCAATGAAATTAAGTGAAAGATCATGGAATTGGCATTGTTATAAATTAAAATTTTATTCTATTTGCCTCTCAGATTCTATACGATCTACTCTTTATGTTTTTTTTCTTTGAAGCAGAACAATGCACCATGTGCAGCCTTTTGCTGTAGCTCATATTGCCACAGTGAACACACAAGAGACTATAGCTGCGTGATGCTTTCGTAAATGCTCTTTCATGTGTAACGGGGTCGCCTTGTACCTTGCACATAGAAAGCGTTCGACGCAACAAGCTGAGCACTCAAAAGTAGAAGCAGAAGGTTGGGTAGGACGTTTCATACACTGCGAATTCAGAAACCTCTAAAAAATTCTCGTTCTTATTTGCTTGTTCTATCCCCATACTGACGCTAATCTTATATTTCTTACTATGCAATCGTGGTTGCCGTCAGAGAAATTTTTGGCTCAAATGTTCTGCGTAATCAACGCCCACTGGTTGAATTCGTACGATAATTAGAAGGATACGTGCTTAGTTTGCTCTGCTGTTTCACGATAACATAGTTTCAGAGAGAAGTCTATTTGGGTTACAGTGCTCTTTATATAGCATTATCGAGGCGACAAGCCACGAACACCTTCTTATGGTGTCATATCGTCCCCATCAGTACTAGTAATTTGGTGCCTCTCAGTTTTGCACTTTTGTACAATAGTGTAATGTGTACGAACATACCTCGCCAGGAAACCCACTATCCAGATATGGACACACTGGACCCACACTTATATCGTCTTTTAAAGACATCGCGCGAATGTGAGTGTTCAACGAGCACTCACTGCGCTTGAATTATCACTTCGGTTCTTGCACCCTTAAGTGCATTTTTGCATCGAAAGTTTTCTCTATTACGTGCCCTTATGCCTGATGACTGTGTCCACAACTTCCAGCTTATCGTCACGATGTGACGCTGTTGCGGCAATTTCAGTTGTGAAACTCTTTTTGCTGCTGTATTTTCTGCCGGCATTGATCTTTTGCAGCAGATACTATAGCTCGGGGGACACGGTAGATTCACTTGCAGTTAACGAGCAAAATTCGGACGTCTTGAGGTAGATGTACTAGCAGTTGTTGCACTTCCCAAGGACGTTGCCCTAGTATGCAATGCGACTGCGCAACTAAACAAGCGGCTTATGTCGATTCAAGGCCTGGGCCCTTGGCGAGCGCGAAATTCTTCTTCAGAAGAGCCTGGTCTTCGTCGTTTTGTCATACAACATACTTAATTTACCATTTGGTACACCAAAATTTTAGTAAGTGATGTGAATGGTGTGTAATAAGTTTAGGCGCTACTTTTTGATATCAGCTACATGGTAATACATACATCTAGCTACAACTTAGCCACTAAACTTCACTTGAGATGATAGAAATTCCTTCCGTCTTTGTAAGCGCTACCTTTTGAAAATTACTGTTAATAAAGTTGCTACATCGGCCACTTTTAGGGAGGCTCGACCCTTGTGACCGATGAGGAGACTGAGGTTTTCCAACGAGAGCAGTAGTAGCGACTCTTCGAGTTTTGAGCCAACTTATCCGCCCCCCACCGAGAGACTTACGGCAATGCCATCTAATAAGTTCTTAAGGGTCGCCCTTCTTCCAAACAATTACCGTTACGTGTCCGCCCCTAAGGCAAAATTTTTCGCAATACTCCACCGTGGAACTCATGATGACGTCCAACTTCTCATCAGTGTGTCAGAACTATATCGGGGATTTCAGATTGTCCGTCTGGGAACCCAAGAGTTGCAACGACTTTGCCAACTCGACCACGCCGTGATTTCCGATCCATACTCGGTTCGTCGAAGTGGAGCCCTTATACACCAATTTGTACGGGCTCAGCGCTCGGACAGAGAGCAAGACGCGAGCACGCGTTCTGCCGCCATGACCACTACTCCTCAAAGGTACCGCCTGGATTTTAAGCAGCAGCGCTCGGGGATAAAAATGATTTTGTTAGTGTGTACTCTGGGTACTTAAAGCTGGCGAGATCGGCAATAGAGCCAAGCTCGCATGCTGGGTGAGGAATTGCACCATCTCAACCGCCTTTAAGCTTTGCAAGCCAGCTTCTAAGGAAGCAAAGCACAACGCTAACGTCGAGAGAAAAACACATCAGCTGTTGCTACGGCTACTTGCATTTCCGTTTGTCTTATGAGCTTGCTGTAATCAGCACCGACCTAGGTCATTGTCACCACAAGACCTGCATTGCCTCACCAATCGAAAGCGCGTTGCGACGGGCGACCCTGCCCCTTCTGCACAAGAAATAGAGGCAGATGGTGCGCCAATTCGAAAGCGCCGACCCTTGGTCATTAAATGAACGGCCAGTAGTCAACATGTTTAATCTATCGCCAAGCACTCTATACAAAGCCTTTGCTGAAAGTGTGATTTTTGCTCCGACACAAAGGCCACCGACAATCTTGTAAGTGACGCTGTTCACAAACAGTCGTTTAAACACAACACACATGCTTGTGCGACGAGGAATCGATTCCCGACGTGGAAGGAGAAGGACAGTCATGACTTGGGGGAAGAAGAATGACTTAAAACCTTAAGGTGAATTTACAACTAAATTCAATTGAGTTGATAATTCTTTGCTACATGCAAAACACGCAGAAGCGCTTAAATTTTATCAATAAGACCTTGGGTTTCTGATTTGTATATTAAGGGTGTAATGAGGCTGAACCTTAGCTTCAACTTATGCAAGATCTTGGGTGTACAGAGATTGAACTTCAAAAGCTTGTACTTCGACTTTCGTGGATAGCATTTAGTAGAATTGACTGGCTTACGCCACCCACTTCGAAAGATAGAGACACGGCAGTTCTGTCACCAGTACAGATCACTAAGTAGGATCAACATTCTGTATCACAGAGATTTTTTGTGACATCATAAAAGATGACACGTATGCATTTGGGGAACACCACACTGTAATAGCCTTTTTTATCAGCTCGCACAATACATGAATGTATCTTCATGTATTGGCTAAATGTGGCCCATTACAAATCCATGCTGGAGAAAAACTTCGTCGAGAAAATACCGGGCTGTGTCCTTGCCCTTTACGGTATCGCTGATAGCAGCAAAATGAACCACTTACCCAGACGGTTCACAAATAACAACGATGACGAGATGATATTATGCGACTTTCTGAAAATATAAATTGCATTTTTACGAGATTTGAACACTCTGACGGGACCGGCAATCTGGCACACATGAATTGCTCCATCTGAAGCATGGCCAACCTTAACTTCTTACGTCCGGAAGGAAACTCTCCGTTTCAGTCTTAGATGAGCAATTGCTTAGTATAAGCAAACTCACGGTCCAAACGAATACGATCTCACCGACGTTTGTGTATCAGCTGCATATTCTCATAGCTGCTGATTGCCTCCAGTCGTCCAGGGGACAAATAGTCGAACAAGTTGGGCTTAACCCCTGCAGTCTCACACTTGATCCAGTAAGTTAAGATGCAGTTGTCGGATAGACTGC